TATATATATATATATTTCGATCCTAATACTATTCCTTTATATTTTTAATTTTTGAAGTGATGGAGTATTTCGATGAGATTTCGAGCACGTTTTCTTAATGATGAGATGAAATTAAACGAGTATAAAGAGACTCTTCACACTTGCATTTAGCGTGTTTGGTAAATGGGTAGGCTTTTTGTAACATTCGCGTAATTAGGCAATATTGGTCGCAGTCAGCTATTAGAATTGTAACGATTGTTGTGCGCAGGAATTTTCCAAAGCTGTTTGAAAAGTGATGATGACGCAGATGTGTCCTGCAAAGAGCTCAATACATCGGATATCGTATCGTCGTTTGACGATAACAAGCGTGAAACGTTTAATTCGGCGAACCATGCTAGACTCTCCAAGAGAATCTCGGTGCGAGTCGTGCCTAATAATACGACTACTGGATGCAAGATCAAAGATACCTCGTTTCTCGAGGCATTTGGAATAAAGTCGGAAAAATCTCCGAGCTTGAAACTATCGCGTGAGCATTTTTCATTAACGTATTTCATATATACACAAGGAATGTTATTATATCGAATAAATGAATTAAATATTTATAGATCGTAAGGAATCACACGATAATCAAATTATCAAAGGACATTCCACAACTGCGAGAGATGTTGTTTTACAAAGATGTTCGCAAAACTCTTACTTATCTTTCTCCTATTGCTTCCCAGATTCGTATGTAGATCCTTAGTACACGATTCCTTATACAGGCGTGTTTCTACAGTGTATCATTCTATATCTTATCATTCGATAATATCATTCTATTTCCACAGATACTTGGAATATTGCCGCAAAATTGGCGAAGGTGTTTACGGAGAAGTCTTTCTCTACGAATATTTTGATAAGAAGTCAGTTATAAAAATTATTCCTATAGAGGGCGAAAAGTTGGTCAACGGCGAGGCGCAGAAAAAGTTTAACGAAATACTGTCGGAAATTGTGATCGCAAAGTGAGTGGAGATGTGTATTTATCGATAAAAATTATCGAACAAAATAATTTGAAAAATGTTTACAGAGAATTGGATAATCTGAGATTAAATACTACGTATAAGACCAGCGGATTTGTCGAAGTACGAAGTATCAAATGTATCGTGGGAAAATATCCGAAGAGGCTTGTAGAGCTGTGGAACACTTATGACGACAACAAGACATCCGATAACGATTGTCCGTCGATGTTCGACGAAAATCAATTATACATTGCTCTCGAACTTGGTGACGGTGGAGAGGATCTCGAAGCTTTCGTCTTTCAAACCGCGGAGGAAGCCTGTGCTTTGTTTTTACAAGTCCGACAATATTACATCTGTAACTTCCCCCGATAATTATATTTAATCGTTAGTTATTCGCCCGTTCAAATCTTTTTTACAGACTGCATTTGCATTAGCCGTTGCCGAGAAGGCATTCGAATTTGAACATAGAGATTTGCATTGGGGTAATTTATTGATATCGAGAACGAAAGAACCGTACGTGTATTATAATCTTGACGAGAAAGAGATCAGGCTGCCAAGCAAAGGTGTAAAGGTAACATTTTATCGGGAAACATTGTTCTATATAATACTATCGATCCTCACAGTATAATCTTGTTTTCCCCTCAAGGTATCGATCATAGATTTCACCCTGTCGAGAATGTTGTATCAAGGATGCTGCATATATAACGATCTTGCATTGGATCCGGCCTTATTTACCGCACACGGCGAATATCAGTTTGAGATCTATCGTCTAATGCGTGAGAAAATTCAGTAAGTTCATATATACGTTCTCTCTTATTTAGCTATTTCTCCCCCAAAAAAGCGAGTAATTTATTTATCCTCGCTTTGGTTTTGCGTGCAGGAATAATTGGAATAAGTTTGAACCATACACGAATATCTTATGGTTGCATTATACTTTGGATAAGATGATTACATCGGTAAGATACAAAAGGAAGAACTTAAAAGTACATAAACACGCTATCCTCAGATTGAAGGAATTTAAGGACATAATTTTAAAATATGACAGTGTGTTCGATTTTGCAACTGATTCCAGCGTCGCGCATTTGTAATGCAAGCCGACGAGAAGAGATGTCTCGGTAACTTTGTACATCTTTAAAGATATTCTATGTGACACTTGGTCACATATGTGTACAAATCAATAACGTTAGTGCTGTTCAAGACTGAAAAAAATTACTGATAATCTTTCTTAAACTTTTACACTCTGCGCCTTGTAATAATTGTTTATAATTAAAATTGAATAACTTCGCGTTTTCCGTAGACTTTTTTACGCATATGATAATAATGACCGTTAACGAAAAAATTAAATAATTTTATATATGAAAAAAAATTCAATCTTTGAAATTCTTTAATTATTCTTTATTCAATATATGATCTCTATTCTCTATTTTATCGATACAACAATTGTTTATCTTCAATATCTAATAAAGTGACTTTACGTGAATTAATCTCGATATAAGTTCTGATTTTTTTTCTTTTTCCAATATGTATTTCCTCTGATTCTATAGAACATTTTCTCTTCGATTTTAAAATCAACTCATTTCTTAAATTTATTTCAATCCTCATATCATTTAAACGAAAACTATATCCTTGACAAAGTGCATTTACTTAATGTAATGATTAACTCTTATCTTTTCGTTTCTATATGTAATATGTCCATTCTAACGAAGTGATTTGTGAGCAACATATTGAAACAATATTGATTTTATAACTCTGTTATAAGGAATATAATAAACTAATGTTCAATTCATTGCCCAAGAAGAAACTATTAAATGGTAATAATTTATCTGCATGGTAATAATTTATCATTTTATTTTTATTCCTTAAATAAAAATGTATTTTACTTTACTTTACAAACTATATCTTTTACTTTGTTATTGCTTATTAAAATATAACTATTTTTTATGCATTAATATTGTTTCTCTATTATTAAGTATTCTCAGTGGTAAGAGCAGTTGTCCGGAAAGCGAAAGACTCGGGTTCGATTCCCGATTCAGCCACTCGTACCTCGCATATTTTTTCAGACCCGCAAATGTTGTTTTCTAACAATTATTTGTCGGGCTGAGGAAGTGTGTAAACGCCCTACACAGACACGACAGTGCCGCTGCCACGGAAGAGATGGATGCTTGGTTCGTGCCTCCTACCGCCTTAAATCCCCCCCTCGCTTCACTCTGTGGTGTACATCTGTGCCAGCGTAAGTGCTGGTAATATGTCCACTAGATCCACCACGTGGTGACGGTGGAAGATCGTATTATTAATTGGGAGCAGAAGAGGGGGCTGCTTAGGCGTAGTGGTTTAGGATGGACTACTCGAGGAGGCTTCCATTCATACTGGTGACGAGTCAAGACTCATCGCTGAGCGGCTACGGGGGCCAATTTTCAATCGTTTAATATGATTGGACCGCTCTGGAGACATGGTGGGGATGTCGTCTCTCCGTGGCAATCGGCACTGCATCCATGGAGCGAGATTCCAACATCGCTCTGGAGTCGTATGTACTGTATTAAAGTGGCGTAAGGTGTGAGGTCTGAATAGCTCAGTGGTAAGAGCAGTTGCGTTCCTCAATTTCCTTTATGTGTTATGAAAGCTTTTGGTATATCTCACTTACAGATCTCAATTATTTGTCGGGCTGAGGAAGTGTGTAAACGCCCTACACAGACACGACAGTGCCGCTGCCACGGAATAGATGGATGCTTGGTTCGTGCCTCCTGCCGCCTTAAATCCCCCCCTCGCTTCACTCATCAGAATACCCACTTGAATTTCTTTAAATTTTTTGCTTATTTAGGGTGACCTTAACAACATATATCAAGATCCAGACAATTCGACCTGGGTGTCCTAAATATATTTACCAAGAAATATGTATAGAGTCTTAAAAAAAGAGTTTAAGACTTTAAGAGCAGATAGTCACGAAATGAAGGAAGAAAGTAAACATAGGTCGAAAAATTAATGTCAGGGCAACACGCTTTTAATAACACTGTAAAAGTTCTCAAATATAATTTTTTTTAATATTTAATATTTTATTAATAATTAAAACTATTTTGTTCTATTATGAATTTATATATGTATTATACATTTTGCAGTAATTGAAAAATTTTTGTAACATTCAGAGTTTCTTACACGCTTTTGCAATCATTATAAATATAGTTTTAATTATTAATGTCTTCTGTGCAATAATTAAATTTTTGTAATATTTTATTCAAAGTTATATAAATCGATATCATTGCAAAAGCGTGTAAGAAGCTAACAATAAGTGCCGCGCTTTAATTATGCGCGAGCAGTAAGTGAAACGGGAGGTGTAAAACACGAAATCTAGCCAAAAGTTGCAAGCAGCCTTGTAAACTAATCATTCGATATCGATCGATGGTATATGGTATACTCATCAAAACGATGCTCAATTTGTTATAAATACATCGTTACAACCATGTATAGTATACCAAAAAGAAGCGATGAATTGAAAATTATACCGTTAGAAGAGATGTTCACAGGTATCTTTAAAATTATTCATCTATGCTTCAATCTTGTTTATATACATAATAGTTTATAATTGTAAAATCTTAAAAACAATTGTTGCACAGCGTATTGCAGCATGGATCCTGTATCCCAACATATGGGTGTGTCACTCATTCCTCTTTCACAGAGCAATAAGTGGTTGATGTCCGCAGGTATATTGGATATGATTAAATTAACGACTACAAACACAGGCCTTGCTTTCTTTAAATTTCGTAAACGCGCTCTATCGTACGATGAATATTTGATTTATCTAAAAGATCTTGCTACGTCTTATAATTTAAATTTCGAGGATATGAAGCATCGGATGCAAATATCCAGCAATCTTTCCACGACTGTGCAAAAGAGTACAAAAAAAGACAACTTAAGGTATTCGATGTTTAAAATATAAACGACGTTAAATTGACTCTATTTACAAGTTTTATTTTGCATCCGAGTATATACATACATGTAAATTTATTGACGATGTGTATTCATGTTACACTTTTTATACACATTTAGAAATTGATATTTTATCGAATCCACCTCCTCGTTTCTTGAAAAATTTGGTGTAAATATGACTGCGAGTTCTCCTAATGATGCATAGAAAACGCAAGAATAATTTATTATTTTTTTGAATTTTCAAAGTTAATATTATACACCATGTGCAATAATGTATTCTTCTAACACAGTGTACTTAAATTTTTGACCTAATAGGCAAACAATTTGACGATTCAAAATGTAATGCTTATGCATTTGATGCACATATTTGTGATTATACATTTATAATAATAATTTTCTTGTATATGTACCAATAATTATAGAGCCTGCCAAATAAATATAAAATGGTACACAAATTAAATTCATACAAATAAAAACAATTTACAATCATCCTTTAAATATCAAGGCATTGGAATCACAAAAGGGCTCGTGCTCATATGCTTTCTGAAAATCGCAAATTTCAGAGCAAGGATAATTCTATATTCAAGTTACATTTTTACGTTTCAAAATTGCTCCTTCGCCCTTTTGTGCTTCTTCAAGTATCAAAAATAAAATACCGGAAATTAAATATATAAATAACAATAGCAATAATCTTTTGAGAGAAACGATAGGAAAAACCTTGGAGGAAGGACCAGAATTTGTCAGCTTACGCGATGTTATTTTGAACTACTGCTCGCGATTATGTCGAGGACGAATAAGTAACTTTCCGTTCGCGAAGCTTTGATCATATTATTTTTTTTTTTCGATATATATATAATACTATACCATCCTTAGTTATACGTTTCGTTGCATCCACTTTAACGCGTTTCTAACATTAACGAGCGTTACCCTGCTAAGGAAGCTTGCGATCAATTGATATTCCGGCATTGTGCGTCTTCCACAAGAACGCGTGGAAAGTGTTCGTTTGTACGCTTGACGTCTATCGATATCGACAAAGAGTGATCCGTGTGACGGGGACAAATCTGCGTTCCGTTCTTCGCAAAGAACTTTTGTGGTCAAGCACAAAAGCCATTGCATAATCTATGTATGTGCGTGACAATATTATTATGTAAATAAACTAGTTTTTGATTAACATTACTTACGTCGACTTGCTGCTTACCTCATTGCTCGACGGTAAATATCCCTCTCTTTTCATCCATGAGCTAGGTGCCCACAGATATAGTTGTATTATTGTCGCCGCCAATTCAGCGTCGAGCCGCTGCATGTGTATATTAAGAAAAAAAAAGAAACATTTGAATATAGTTTCTTTATGTGAAGAATATAATAAATATAATTAAAAATATAATTATATATATTTATAATATAATAAAAATTAAT